GTTTGCTGTTTAGCACAGTAAACATAATATAAAGTAACAGAATAAGTAAAAAATATATATTTTTTTAATATGTACTGTATGCGTACATATACATATATGTATATAAATGATAAGAGTACACTTTTTTTTTATAAGAACACTGAGGCTGAAATTGCTTAAAAATTAAGAACAAAATAAGAGGAAATTGAGGCCGAGGTAAAATGTCTAATGAGGTTTTATTTTTTAATTTTTTTTTTACATTGAAAAACCACAAAATTATCTGTACCTTATGTACAGTGTAGGTGACATATAATACTGGATGCCCTGTATGATACAGTACAGTAGGCGTACCTGTCATTTGGGGCCATTTTTACCGGGCCTTTTTCTGGGTCCATTTTTATCTACATTCCAGTACAGTAGTATACTGCTGTAGAATAATATTTTTCTATATTTTAAAGATGTGTAAAATAAGAACAAAACAAGAACATTTTCAGCCTGAAATTGGCCAAAAAATAAGAACACTGAGTCTGGGCAAAAGTTTACTGGTTCTTATAAAAAAAAAAGTGTATTTCATTTTTGCTATACATCTAACTAATAACAAAACTATGCGTGCCCTTGACACAACAACAGACTCTGCACAGTGAAACCTCAAAAATACAAATTAATACAGATGTAGTCGGCAGACTGTTTGAATTATGGAGCATTTAGTCATGATATAATTACCACAGGAGAAGGAAGCAATTCATTAGTATAAGTTTATAAAAACCTAATCACTAAGTTATTTGAACTACATTATTACGCAGTATGGACAGGGATAAATCATGCTAACACCAGGGAACAGTAAAATTGAAATTCCCTGCTAACACAAGACGTTTTCAACAACCACCTAATGTCAACGAGGGTCTAATGTATGATTATTGCATGGAAAGAATTATTCGTTTAGTATTATTTGTATTATGTTTTGATTATTAATAGAGGACTTACCATATCTACCAAGTGTCTTAACCTATTATGTTATATATCGAAGGGTATATAGTAGTTACATAAGAAATATGCTTGTTCGTAAGTTTTAAAGTTATTGGAACGTCATACATTATACTATTCATTTATATGTTCAATTATATGTTAAATTTGGAAGTATGTACTATTTCCTTGAATTCTGCTATTGAATATATTTTAAAAACCAATAATTACCATGATATTTTAAAATTATGATAAACAGTGTGACTTTTATTTCCATATCTCATGGTTTATATACCTAAATGAATATAAATATCCAAAAGAGAATGTATGAGGTTCCAACTTTAAATAAATATGAACCACAACAAAATATCAAAATCAAAAAACAAATGTTATATAAAATATTGCGTGGAGCTTTGCGTTTATACCCTCCACGCTGTTTGTACAGTGTAGAATAGAAGTTAAACAAACCTGTTGGTGTCCAAGCTCCTGCATTATACTGGCGAGTCGTCTGGATTGACGGGTTTTTGCAGATGGTCTGTTAGGCCGACTGATCTTCAAAGACTCTCGCCAGTCCAGTGTTAAAGCATGGATGTGAATATCGAAAGATGATGAATGCTGAATAGGCGTTTTCGATGACGGATCGAAGACGTGTACCTCACATCCATTTCTTGCCAAATCTACTTCAATTTTGCCTTGATATATAACAGGACTAGATTCAATATAAAAAAAAAAGAAACCTGCTGCCAATACATTTATGAATTTTCTCTTATTATACTTATGATATGAAGGTCGACACGATGTCATGTTGAAATATTATCATCATAATATTGAACAATTCGCATACACGTATTCACGAATACAAAAGAGCGACGTTCACCCAAGTACGGCTCATGTATAAATACCGTAGCCTATAACTGTTTTCTGGTTTCATAAATTTCCTTGTCATATTTTGACTTCTTGTGGAGGGGTGCCATGAGAATTTTCCCTTAAACGGATACCGGCGCTTTATAAATGTTCATTATTGAGCCTATTATTATTATTATTATTCTTGGAACATATACTTATTATTAACCAATATCTTGAGAGGTCTCTTGTTCAAGGACGACCATGTCAACTCTGAAGAACAGAACAGGAAGTAGCTCTCGAAATAATTGTTAAATAATTATGCTCTTACATCGTATTTTGCTTCTTGCATTCGTGTTTCATTGTATATTGTAATACGTTATACTGTAGGTCTATATATTATATTAACTTATTAACTGAATTATATTGTATTGCATTATATGTTGTTATGTTGTGGTATATTATATTATATTGTATTATATATTGTATATTATATTATATTACATAATTGTATTGTATTATATTTATATATAATAATTATATAATAATTTTGTTTTATGTTCTTATGTTAGGACGTATATAAAATGTATATAGGCCTACGTAAAAATCGTATCGGACAGTACTCTAATAAAACTTCACTACTTAACTTTGTGTCGATCAATGCTTCAGGGGGTACAGTGAGGTGAAAGAGGCGTACATCGCCATTTTAATGTTGGTGTCTTCGTAATATAGTATAGAGTACAAGATTATGAAGAGTAAATTAGGCTGGAGTAAATTAATACTAATTTAAGAATAAAGTAATATAATTGTAGTATAATAGAGTATAATAAAGAGTATAATAAGGATTATAATAATAATAGAGTTTAATAATAAAAGAATATAATAGTAGCGTATAATGAAGTAAGCATTGTTTTTGGTAATTTAAATGCGGTCTAAGTTGTTCTGCCGTAAATTATTTTTCAGGATATCGCAATATAACTGCCGTCGATTGATTGACTTATTGATTGATTACAACTCTGTTTGAATAAAAAGACTTACCCAAACGAATACACGATGCATTTCTTTTTTTCATTTGTTATATTGGATCCTACATATTGCTCATCGTAACATACTTTCCATGCCCAGTCTTTTTTATAGCGCCCTCTTGGATCAACAGCTTGGACACCGGGACTTAACAGATTTTTGCATTGAATCTAAAAATTAAAACATGAATAACAGCTTGTAATACACACAATTTCATAAAATAAACATGCAGTCATGTTATGCGTTTAAAATATGTTCAATGTTATAATAGGATAAATAAAATAGGCCTAGACTAAAGCACAGCAGCATGACAGTAGCAGACGAGATGCATAGGCAAAATGAATCCAGAATTCAATGAGCACGATATTGTAAATTTATATATGTTTACGTATGTTATATATTATTGTAAATGGTAAAGATAAGACACTATGTCCAATGAATGCCATTCTTTTCACTGTTTCTTTGTCCTACTGAATCTGTATTATTTGTCATCATCACATCTACAACTTTATTCTTTACGTTGTGTGACTTTCTTCTGTTGTGTCAACCACAGGCCTATATATGCATACATCAATCAGAAATAGACTGTCACGTCCCCATAATAAAATAGCCTATACAATTAAACAACTTGGTAACGTTAAATTTGGCGTGCGACATTCTAGGCCATATGAACCGGTAGATTAGGCTCACATCAGGCAAGACGGAGCCAGCTGGGGAAATTCGAACTGGAGAGTTTCAAATAGAATTATACAGAAAGATAATAAATGTAGGTCTGTCATCAAATCAAAACGAACGAATCTGTATTATAAAGGATATTTTATCGAAATAATCGATCCAAATGTAAAACGGAAAAAGAAAGTTAAAAATATTAGTTAAACTACGCTTCGCTGTGATTGGCTGGCGACAAGGGTATGTTGACGCAGCGGTAAAACACGAATTAATTAGGCACGGACTTTAGTTAAGCCGTCGCTGGGAGTCATGAATCACGACATTAGTTTGGCAACATTTGTTTTTCAAACCTTTCTCCAATCATAACAACTCCCTGCTTCAATCTTGCCTGCAATGAGTTCCGTATAACTAAATCGAGGAAATACAGTAATCAACAACGGAACTAAACCTCATAGGATAAGGGATTCAAAAGGTCTGTGCTTTCTTTAAATAAAAATAACACCATAAGTTATTTAGTTTTTTTCGCATTTACAAATCTAGAAAATAGGCCTATATAACGATAACACGAAATAAAAAGAACCCGTAATCATGAAATACATAGTTTTTCTTTTATTGTTCAAGGAAGTGGGGTCTATTTGATGATCACAGTTTTCGGAGTTTTCCATATATGAGCGGGCTTGTTGCTGATGAGGTTATGATACATCCAGTAGTTACAAAATGTGTTCAGTCCGTTTAAATGATTGACATACGGAGCGAGATCGTTGAGACATTATTCGATGCAAATTCGTTTCAACAGGATTTCACGGAAAGACGTACGGTATTGATTATATTTTATATGCAATATATCCAGCACTAGTAAAACGTCAATCTATTACGTCATGAAGGTTACTTGCAGTATTTATGGTTTTACTGCGAGCAACGAAACCGCATAAATTATTCACAATAAAATATTTTTGAACTAATGGAACGTTTGTGAGTGTTTTTTTTTTAATTTAAACTTTCTACAACATAGGCCTATAGTTACAAAAAAAAACAACATTCTGATAGGCCTACGTATATCTTTTTCATGATGGCCAGTATTTACAGGATTTAATAATGTAATCTTATAAGGCGCACGAAATCTCAAAGAGCTGCTAGTGGCGCCATTTCCACATTCAGAGAGAGGATTTGAACCCGGCTTATGAAATCGAAGTCATTGCTATGCGTACGTTTTCCTAGCACAAGTACCGTAAACTTCCAACACACGATGGGTTAACCAAATTTTTAGACATAGGTCCTGGGTCCAAGAGGTGGCAATAAATAGTCCCGTTCAATTAAGGCAAGAACTTTGAAAATACAATTAAAAGTCTTTCAAGAGATAGGTATTTGTTGTGAATAGCGGTAATAATAACGTAGCCTGCAAGAAAATAACCAAGGGGGCTTACCTGTGGGTTGGAGATATATTCTAGAAATCGTTGTGCTTCGGCTTCGAATGTATGATTCTCAGACGCCCACCGCTGCATGTGCAGTATGCCAACCCCTTTCTGTGTATTTGTAGCCTGTGATATAAAGATTATTACGGTAACAAATATGAATGCTGTAAATCGATCGACCGATCAATCAATCAATAGAATATTTATTCAGTCAATCAATCAGTAAATCAATTATTCTATCAAATAATTAATTTATTAAACAAATAATATAGGCCTATAATCAGATTAGGCACTAGTCTTAAATTTTAAAGATTTAATAAATGATTTCTCTTAATAGTTATAATTAGTAGTTAATGCCATAACATTACCGATCCAGAAAATTCTTCGGCACTTTGCGTGTAAAGTTGTTGAACGAATTCAGAACGTAGACCTAGATTTTTTTTTCTTCTTTTATCATTACAGAAGACCAACATTCACCATGGTGCTATCAATAACAACAACTTTAGTTTTATCGCTGTAATGACATATTCATGGCGCTAAATTCCACGTGATCTCATCAATCTAAAAACTCCCCTATGACGTGTTATTTGCTGGCTGCCTAATTTTAAGTGTTATCCGATTTAATATTAAACAATTAAGAAGAGAAGATCATTCTCAAACCCCTACTGAATAAATCTGCCACCAGTCCAATCAAAATCGAACCGATTTTGAGAATAGAAATTTATTATTCATTCTCTTCTTAGTTCCAACAGTTCTAAACCTACTTTCATCCTGAGTCGTAAGCCAGTTTCTAACTTGTTATATTGCAGACATATCATTCATTGAGTTTAATTCATAGACCATTAATCTTGTGGAAACATGACTAAGTATCCGTAGGCAATTGGAGCTATATTATAGTAATCACTCGATATTGAAATCAACAGACTGATTGCTATAATTTACTGGCATTTGAAATCAACCGAATGGTCGTTGAGCCTGCCTGGCCTTGGGCTTGATATTTTATCTACGTTTGTATCTCTTCACGTAGGATTGTAAATGGTTACAGTGGATGGTAGGATATGAGTGAATTGGTATGAGCCCGAGTTATGCACGTCTGGGAAAACTCCCCGGGGAACGGAGGCGATTACAAATTCTGAATTATTGATTATGTAGCCATCATGATGAAGAATATTGCAAATATTTCTGTAGTATAGCCTCTGCTTCGAAGTTCCACTAACGTAACAACTTATCACAATATGACACAGATTGATTGATTGATTGATTGATTGATGTATGCCTGTGCCCATTGGCTAATTCAATGAGGTATTAAATTTAATATCTTCTTGGTTAATTACATTTCTTATCACCCAGACCTAGAATCATGGATTCGGATTCCCTTATTGTCCCTTGCTAAATACCAAAAAATCATAAAAATATTTTTTGAAATTAACTTGCCCCTTTGGAGTAACATAAAAGTTATCAACTTGAACATAGAAATTAATGTATTTAAAAAATGTCTACCCATCAGTTTACAACGAAAAATAATAGAAACACTTCCAGTCACTGGAAGTGTTTTATTATTTTTATAATTTTTTGGTTTAAAAATCAGGGTACACATTTTTTAATTCAATAATTTTTATGCGCAGGTTAATAATTTTTATGCTATTGCAATATGAGCAAGTTTATTTCAAAATTATTTTTTTTATAATTTTTTGACATTAGCAAGGGTTAATACATCTTTAAGCATAATTATTCGTTTTCTCTCAACCAGCAGGAATCCACATTATAGGCCTTATAACATGGAGCATAACATATAACAGTAAAATGCACGTGTTTTACATCAATCTTCTAAGTGACAAGTTACTTGCTTCTAGATGCAAAAGATCAAAATAAAATATGGCCGTTATGAAAGCACACAATGAATTATGACATAGCAATGACTTCTTTAAACTGCACCAATCATTCTTATTATGAGAGGCAATGTCGAGTGAGATATGTACAACAAGCCATCTTCGGCAAACAGAGCAATCACATACAGTACGTCTGAATCAAATATCGATCCGTCTGCTTTACCCTGGACAAGTATTCTAAGAAAGAGTTTGCGTTCATTGATTTATCATTTACGACAAATGAATTAATAAGCATCAGATTCTTGAATACAGTAGTAGCATAATATAAAGTTGCATACTATCCATCCATATTCATATAAGTAGAGCCATTTAGACGCATGACGTCATACTTCTTTGGAAACGGGCAATGATGGTGCGAAGAAGACAGTTATTACTACAGTACTTCCAAAACGTTAGGGGCGGATTTAGGAGGGGCGGCTCCCCCAACCCACCATCCTTTGGAAAGTCAAAAAAAAGAAAAACAATTATTGATCGCCCAAATCGCATCAGAGGTTATTTCCGGGCGTCTTGATCATTCCCCATTCGGCCTACGGTCGTTTAAAACTAGGGTCACCTAGAAGGTGACCCTTTATTTCAGTGTCTTGCTGAATATAACAACTTGTTGCTACGTATAGTACCTTGAAACGGCTATATTAACAATCACCATTCGTTTGTTATTATATTGGTCATTAATTTTAAAGCAATGTTTCTTATTCAGGTTTTAAAAATAGGAGATGAGACCTGTTATTTTTCTCTTCAAATATGACGACAATTAATTCGAACAGATGATCTATGCCAGACCTACAAATCCAACAACTGCCTATGAGATGAACATTTTCACAGGTCTTACGAGTGTATGTTTTTGCCTTGTGATAAAAAAAATAAACAAAAAAAGAGGCAGATCAGAAACGGATGAACGATTTGTTTTGGCTTCTTGGCTTTATCCACAGGAACATTGTTAAACGGGTGCTACCCCGGCCAAGTAACATGTGTTTAAACGGTGGCCTTTTGGCCCTGGAACATATGGTTAGTATAATAAGTATAATTTAATATAATGCTGTGCCATGGTGGGCACCAAAACAGCATCGTACATATAAATATTAAATGACAGTGTAGAACTACAGTATAATTGTGTTTTTGGCTCTCATCGCTCCCACTATTCACTAAAATTTAAAGCCAGACACCAGAGAAATGATGCTGAGAGAAGAGAAATAATTGGGAACGACTCTAGGCCTACGAAAGATTAAAAATAAGTAACAAACAATCTTGTTTTATTAGTTATTCC